GCTTTGGTTGCAAGCTTTGGTGCATCAAAGGCATGTCGTATATTTGGTTGCAAGCCCACAATTCTAGTAGCATCCCTATTTTTCATTGGAGGAGCTGGGTTTAGTGCTCTTGCTGAGCACAAATGGATGCTCATTCTTGGCAGGATTCTTTTTGGCATTGGAGTTGGATTTGGCAATGAGGTATATTTTTTTGTGCCTAAAATAAATTTTATTTTTTAATAATAGAGTGTCTAGGTGAGTATGTCCGCCCTCAACTAATCACAAGCCTAAAATTAACTGACAAAATTTTAGATTTTATCATCAAATTTTTAATGTTCAGTCAACTCTTTGGGTTATATTTATTTTACATAAAGTTTGTGACAAATATGGAAATTTTATTTTTTTGCCCCCTAACAATAATCTACGATTCTAGGTTGTTCCAGTGTTCTTATCAGAGATAGCACCAGTCTAACACAGAGGGGCAGTCAACATTCTCTTCCAACTATTTGTCACAATTGGAATTCTTATAGCTGGCATAGTCAACTATTTCACTTCCACCCTCCACCCAATTGGATGGAGGGTCTCCTTAGCCATAGCCGGCATTCCCGGCCTTGTCCTTTCCTTCGCTCCATGATTCTCACCGAAACACCGGCTAGCCTTATCGAATGAGGCAAGGACACTAAAGGCAAAGCAGCACTCAAGAAAATCCAAGGCGTGGACAACGTGGAAGACGAGTATGAAGAAGTGAAAAGGGCATGTGAGATAGCCAAGGAAGTGAAGCAACCTTTCAAGAAACTGATGAAGCGTTCGAGCGTGCCACCACTAGTCATAGGGATTATGTTGCAGATATTTCAACAGATGACTGGGATTAATGCAATTATGTTCTACGCTCCATTTCTGTTTCAGATCATGGGGTTCAAGAACGATGCTTCACTGTTGTCTGCAGTGATTACTGGGACAGTGAATGTGGCAAGTACTTTTGGTTCAATCTATCTTGTTGATAAAATTGGAAGAAGAAAGTTGCTTCTCCAAGCCTGTGTCCAAATGTTCATTTGCCAGGTACTAAATTAATTTCACTTCTTTGTAATTACATTTAAATTCTTCTCACTTAGTGCTTGTACTAATTAATTGAATCCAATTTCACGTATCAATTGGTGTAATTCTACTGACTCACTTGAACACTACTGGGACAATGGACAAAGGACTCGCTGCGGTTGTGGTGGTGCCGGTGTGCTTGTATGTTATGGGCTTTGCATGGTCATGGGGACCTCTTGGTTGGTTGATTCCTAGTGAAACCTTTCCTCTCGAGACTAGAACCTCAGGCTTTGCTTTCGCTGTCAGCTCCAACATGTTGATGACTTTCCTCGTGGCTCAAGCTTTCTTGTCGATGCTCTGTCACATGCGAGCCTTCATATTCTTTTTCTTCTCGGCTCGGATTTTGGTCATGGGATTGTTTGTGGTGTTCCTGGTGCCGGAAACGAAGGGCGTGCCGATCGATTCCATTGTGGAAAGGGTGTGGAAACAGCATCCAGTGTGGAAGAAGTTCATGGATGATGACGGTCCAAAGAGCCAGGAGATGGTCTGATCATGACACACCTTTTAAAACTGATTGCTGATGCGAATATGATTTTCTTCCCCTCTTTTTGGGAATTATTTTTAGTGTTTTCATGGAGTTTTTTAATTGTTTTGGAAGATATGCCATGCATAGTTTTTTTTTTTTTTTAATGTCCCCCTCCCCACCCCACCCGCAAAGTGACTATGAAATTTTAAAGTATAAGAAAAATAATTTGTGTTTTCATGGAGTTGGTTAATTCTTTTGAAAGATATGTCGCATATATAGTTTTTTTTTTATAAATGTTTTATTGTTATTTTTTCCCCCCCAAATCAATTATGAAATTTTAAGAAAGTATAAGTTTCTGTTTGTTTTGACATAAAATATTTTACGGAAAAAATGTTTTTCTTGTAAATTGATTTTACAAAATTAATTTTTTTTTTTTTGTTTTTCAGCGTTTGGTTGACACTTGTAACAAAAATATTTTATTACTTAAAAGAGAAATTTTGATTCAACAAAGTGTTATTTATGACTTTTTAGTGAGTTAAAATATTTATTTGAAAATGTAGTGATTGATAGTCAATTTTGTAAAAAATTAATTTACGAAATTTTTTAAGGTAAATCATTTTTGGAAAAATGATGCTAAAATATTTTTATTAAAAAATGTTTTACTTACTTTTTGATCAACCAAACAATGAAAAATGTAAAAAATATTTTAGATGAAAACAAACGGAGCCTATTGTTTTATTTTATCCCCAAATTAACTATGAAATTTTAAAGTATCAAAGAAAATTTTGGTAGTGTTTGGTTTTAGATTGGAATCATGATTCCAATAAAAAAAATTCAAAACTCTTTTAAAGGACTATTTTCAAAACTCATAAGAAACTCTTTTCAAAATCTTATTTTTAAAACAAAAAAAAATAAAAAATAAAAATATTGTTTTATTTTGTTCTTTAAAATTATTTTTTATTTTTGATTTTTTTGAACAATATATTTTTTTCAAATAATATTATTTTTATTTTTATATTTATTTTTATTTTTATTTTTATTTTTATTTTTTAAGAAAAATATATTTTGATACAAGTGAAATTCATAATTTTTGGTAAATTTTATTAACACAAATGAGGATTTGATTTCAAGTTGAGAATATACCATTTTTTTTTTACTTTAAAAGAAATTGTTTTTATGAGCCTTTTACATAGGATCATACACACAGTGAGAAAAATTTTCATAAGTTATTAACAAATTTGTTTGTATTGGACCTTCACTAAATGTAGTAAATACAGTGCACATTAAAAAAACTAAATAAATATTTACAATAAAAATATTTACCCTACAAAAACAAAATTAAGAAAATTTTCAAATATTTAAAAAAAATTATCCCAAAACAATTTCGAAATGCAACTCAAAACTCAAAACAAAACAAGTTTTCTCTTTTCAAAACTTACTTCAAATTCGTTTTTTCAAAATACAACCAAACATTGAAATCATGATTTTAAACCTAAACTAAACTAAATGGAATGTTTTCATGGAGTTCTCTAATTGTTTTGGAAGATGTGTCACACATATAGTTTTGTTTTTTTTAATGTTTTATTTTTTTTTTCTACGCAAATTGATTATGAAGTTAAGAAAGTATGGTGAGTTACACCAATGGTGCCTATAGTTTGGGATTTGTATCACTTTGGTTCCTGACTTTTCAATTATGACACATTTAATCTTAAATTTTGAATCTTATTCCAAATAAGGACAATTGAAGACACTATTGGATTTTAAGGACAAATTCATCAATTTGATAAAATATAAATTAACTTGACAAAATAAATGTCAAAAAAATATTTTTTAATTTTTTAAAATTATTTCTACATACTAAAAATAAAATTATATAATATTGATAAATTTTTTAGACAATTTTTTTTTACCAAATTAATTTTTATTATGTATTTGGATGATGATCATGTAAAATTAATTTTTAAAAATTAATCATGTAATTTTTATTAATTTTTATCAATTTTACATAATTTTATCTTTGGTGGGTAGAAATAATTTTTAAAATTTTTAAAATATATTTTTAACATTTATTTTTGTCAAATTAATTTATATTTTATCAAATTGATGGTTTTGCCATTGAAATTAAGCAATGGCATGTTCAATTGTCCTTATTTGAAATAAGATTCAAAATTCATGATCAAATCTGTCACAATTGAAAAATCAGGGACTAAAGTGACACGAGTCTCAAACTACAGGGATTATTAGTGTAATTTGCCCAAGAAAGTATTAGAGAAAATATTTGCAAATTTTGTTCGACTGATTTTTTTGTTTTTTTTTTTTTGTGTGAAGACCACAGGCTCAAAGGAAAAAGAACTTGCGGTGAATGTCAGATATATAACAATTAAAAAATTATGGATCAAAAAAAAAATTACAATTAAAAAATTAAGGAAAAATTATTTATAAGCCGTATTAGGGAGACTTATGCTACATATGATCCTACTAAAAAACTTATATTCTCATAAGTCCTGTAGAAAGTTTGTTGACACATTTACCCTCAATATTAGTTGTTAATATCATAAATAATAGTAAAACCATATATAAAAAATTGAATGTTACTATAGATCATATCCACATAAACGTAACGTAATGTGACACCTACATAAACGTAACGTGACACGTATAGGAAATTGAATGTTACCATAGATCATATCTACATAAACGTAACGTAACGTGACACCTACATAAACGTAACGTGACATCTATGATCTATGGCAACATTCATTTTCTATATAGGAAATTGAATGTTGCCATAGATCATATTTATATGAAACGTAACGTGACACCATCATAAACCAGCAATATTTTCACATTCAATTTAAAAAAATAAAAACTCATTAAATTTGTGAAACGTAACGTGACACGTTACGTTACGTTTATGTAGGTGTCACGTTATGTTTATGTAGGTGTCACGCTACGCTACGTTTATATAGGTGTCACGTTACGCTACGTTACGTTTATGTAGATATCACGCTACGTTACGTTTATGTAGATATCACGTTACGTTACGTTTATGTAAGTGTCACATCACGTTACGTTTACGTAGGATCTTGTAGAATACATTTCTATCTAAATAGGACTTAAGACTCTATAAGAAATTATACAGAACTTAACCTACCGTAAGTATCTAAAAAAAGACTTATAAATAAGTCTCTCAAAAATTATATATATATACATATATATTATGGAACTTCTAACGCGGCTCATTCAAATCACAAAGAGCTGGTATGTACCGTGACAAATTATTTGAACATTGATAAGTTTTTTGGATGCAAAATACACATCTGTGTCTAAAAGTAAACTGAACATTTTCCACTTCACACGCACAACAGATGAAATAAACTACCCAAAAACCCATATACTGTACTGAGAGACTCTCTTCCCTGATTAAGCAAAACCCAAAAGAAAAGCTGCGAAAACCGCCATGGACAATCCGAGCTTACCAAGAAGCCCCATGAAATCATACCGTGGAGCAGCAGCACTTGGAGGAGGTGCAGCAGGTGCTACGGTGGAAGGACTTGAAGGGGTCGGAGAGAGTGGAGTCCGACGCACATTGATCTCAACCTTCTGTCCAGCCTGGCAGTGACCGGGGAAGCCACATAGGAAGAGGTGATGGCCGCATTTGGTGATGGTGATGGAGTCGTTTCCCGTGCTGTAGGTGGCGATCGGGCCTAAGGAATTGCAGGCTTGGTACTCTTTGGTACTCTAGGATCATGAAATTTTTTTTAATAATATGATCGCGAAAGATTTGTGACACTTAGATTACTTTGATTAGTGTGTGGTGCGTTATTTTAAATGTAATCCAAGAGTCATAAATCTTTTATGATCATTTTCATGAAATTTTTTTCTTAATATCTAGCATTGTTAACACGTTGTGAGATATTGAGAATTGTATTTGAAAACTGTTTCGCCATTTAACATAAATTTTGTTAGGATAATGTGTGAACACAACAAATATCAGTAACATGAGGTAGAAGTAAGAACACAGAGAAAATGACATGTCACTAGATGAATTTCACTAGGTACATTATTTTTATTTTTTTTATATTGATATAGTGGATTCTTCGTGTACATTTGTTCCATGAATTTACTTTAAAAAGGTGAAATAAAATAAAAAAAATTTATCTCGTCAATGCAGGACAATGAATTTTAATCTTACTATTGCACGACATAATTTTTCATTCTTCTATTTTCTTTCTACCGATTATTAAAAAATAAAAACCCCAACCCTATCCAGCTCTACTTGAATCATGCATCGACTCCTTTACAAACTTTTATGCCCACTCTCTTTCTTCGTTGGTGGTCAATTTTGAGCTTATGTTGACTTACCCTGGTGGATTCAAGATTGTATATTTAAATTTTGTGTAGCTTTCATTCTCTTACTTTGTCAATTGTATATTTATGTTGTGATGTACAATATAGACTTATGCACAAAGAAATCATTACAAGGGACAAATAACAGATCTAAAATGGTAAAATATAATAAGTACCAAAGCATAAACAATGTTTTCATTTTCAAAATTTAGTGCACTCTGCATAAGGTAAGTCAACCCTGCTCATACATCATGTGGTGAAGTTTTTTCATAACCCAACAAAGTTTGCTTAATTTTCTTTATAGGAAAACAACAAATCAGATTATTTGATTAAAAAATGTTTATAAAAATATGGGATGCAATCATTTTTGGTGAAAAAAAATACAACAAAATTGTATCCAAAAATTTATTATTGATCGCTTTAGTTTCACTATTATGCAAAAAATTACAAATGAAATATGGAAATGACGCCTGCTAACTATACATTGTAAGAGGGGCTAATTTGAGCCCACTAAATTATTTAGGCCCAATAGCCCAAGATTAGTGGGCCCGAATTTATCACAAGTCCAAGAATCGGTGGGCCCAGATTTATCGCCATCAAACGGATTGAATCGCTCTAAGCCTCGAAAGGGTTCGGATCCACGAACCTAGAGACTTACTCGGGCCCGGACTCGAAAGGGTATTAAGCAAGCCTAAAGATCCGAGGCACTCGGACTCGAAAGGATTCGGACCCACGAATCTAGAGATCCGAAACACTTGGCTTCGAACGGATTCAGACGCAAAAAAATGGGATAGGAGACACTGTATGGTCGTGTCGGACCGTTGTAGAAGACAGTTTACGGGGTCATGTCGAACCGTTGTAGCAGACACTGTGTGGTCATGTCAGACCGATGTAGAAGACAGTTTACGGGGTCATGTCGGACCGTTGTAGAAGACAGTTTACGGGGTCATGTTGGACCCTTGTAGCAGGACAGTTTACGAGGTCATGCCGGACCGATGTAGCAGGACAGTTTACGAGGTCATGCCGGACTGATTGTAGCAGACACTGTGTGGTCGTGTCAGACCGTTGTTGTAGAAGCGAACCAGAATAAATGTCGGGACAGTTTACGGGATCATGTCGGACCGTTGTAGAAGCTGACCGGAATCAATGTCGGGACAGTTTATGGAGTCATGTCGGACCGATGTAGAAGCTTGTGGTGGTGCACCAAGGGGGCGACTTAGGGAGTGCGCCATGGGGTGGCTTGGGTGGTTCCCATGATGTGTAACCATGCTCACCATGATACATGATATATGTATGATATATGTATAACCCCCCCTCAAACTCAAATAGGTGTGAAGATAGAAATCTATTTGAGGTTGAAACAAAGGGATTGATAAAGCTGACCGGTGTAGAAGACACTGTATGAGTGTGTATATAGGCTGCCCAAAAGATATACATGGATATAGATATCGAGCCCTCAAAAGTCATGCCCTCAAAAGGTGTGCCCAATTTTTTAAAAGGCGTGCCATCAAAAGGCGTGCCCAATCCATAAAAAGGTGTGCCATCAAAAGGCGTGCCCAGTTTGTCGTCGAGCGCCAAGCGGCGCATGATGCGCGTGTCTGCCTTGGCTATAAGACGGAGGCTGAGGCTGAGGCGAAGACAAACAACTTGCGAAGAAAAACTTCTGAAAAAAAAAGTCTGCGTTTGCGGAGAGAGAAACTCTGTAACACTCGGTTGCCCAGAACATGGCCTCGTCTTCCCGTTCAGCTACCCAGAATATGACCTCTTCGTCCCGTGGTCTGCTCACTCTCTTTCCCGACCTCAACGAGTCAACAAGAGAGAGAACTGGATTTGGATGATTTCATTCATTACGTAGCGAGGGTATATTTATTATTCTTGTTAGGTTATACCTTGTTCGTTGACAAGACCACAAATCGTGTTCCTGTTATGTATCTCCAGTTGCTTGAGGATTTGAATTTAGTTCATTCGTATGCTTGGGGTGCAACTTCATTAGGTTTTTTGTATCGGCAATTGGGTATGGCAACAAAGTTTACTGTCAGACAAATAGTGGGATACATGACACTGTTGGAGGCTTAGATCTATGAACATTTTATATGTGCTAGAACCCATCCAAATTTAAGTTATACAGAAAACCAGCCTCAGGCTTATCGTTGTATTCCTCGCACTCAATCTAGTTCATCGGTTGTTGTTGTAAAGTCATTGCGAGAGGAGCTTGATAGATTGGAGGCTCATGAGGTAAAAAAAAAAAAATGTGTTTTTTTTTGTTTTTTTTTTTTTTTTTTTTTTTTTTCTTTATTTTGTTTTTTTTTGTTTTTTTTTTTTTTTTTTGTGTAAAATTGTGATCGGGGTGGATCCCTGAGATGAATAAAATATGGTTTGGTGTGTAAAGCTATATGGTATGAATGGAATTGGAAAAAGATTAAAAATAATGTGAAAGAAAAATAAAGAAAAAAGAATAAAAAATATATTGGAAATCAAAAATGAAAGATGGGGGAAATAAGGAAAGTGGGGTGGAGAAAATAAATAAAAATAATGGAATTGGAAATCAAACGGAGGAGAGATGATGATGTTTTTTTTTAAAGATAATATAATAAAAAGAAATATATATATATATATATATAATAAAGAAAGTGGGGAACAAGAGTGTAATGAAAAGAAAAAGTATAGGTTGGAACATCGTGGGTCACATGGGGAGTAAAAGGGAAAAAAAAATAATAAATAAATGAAAAGAGGAAGACAAAAGTTGGTGTCTGGGTGTGATGATAAATAAATAAGAAAAGAGAAAAGTATATATATAATAATAATAAGAATAGGGAATTGGGTGGCCCGAGGAGGTTCAATGCATTTGCTGATTGATTTATTTATTTTATTTGTTTGTGGTAGAGTGGATCCATGTGAGTAGTGAGAAGAAAAACAATGTGGTTATCTGTGTATGATAGGAGAGAGATGGAGAGAGGCCAAGACCAACATCTGTGTTATGAGAGAGATGGGGAGTTGGATCCACTCGTTGGCTTCTGGGTCGAAAGCTTGGTTGTTCTTGGGGAAGATGTTGTGGATTGAAGATTGCTGATCTGGGTTGTGCTAGATTGGCGAAACATGGCGGCAATACGGTGTTTTCCGGTACATCGGTATTCATGGCGCCGGAAGTTGTCTCCGGCGAAGAACAGGGGTTTCCGGCCGATAGTTGGGCTCTGGGTTGCACTGTAATCGAGATGGCCACCGGGTCTCCGCCGTGGCCGGAGGTGAACGACCCTGTTTCGGCCCTATACCGGATTGGGTTTTCCGGCGATGTACCAGAGTTTCCGAGATGGTTTTCCAAGCCGGCAAAAGATTTTCTGAGCAAGTGTTTGAAGAGAGGTTGTAGTACAGTCAACTATGGATTCAGTTGCATGAGGAACGAACTACATTGGAAATGGGAAAGGTATGTGTAGAAAATTTTAGCGGACTAGGTTGAGGTCCGGCGGGCGGCTAAGATGAGGTTGCCACCCGCCCGTGAAGCGCGAATACTAGGTTCTAAACCTGCTCTGATACCATGTTAAGATAAATTGATTGAGAGAGATACAGAGAGAATGAATTATGTATTGATTGATTGATATTTCTGATTGTGTATTGTATGTACATTATATAGGAGATGTGAAGTGGAGGTGGAGTGGTGTAGTGGAGTAGGTGAAGTGGAGTGTGTAGTGGAATAGGTGAAGTGGAGGTGGAGTGGTATAGTGGAGTAGGTTTAGGTGTACATTAACAGTGATGGAGTCGTTTCCCGTGCTGTAGGTGGTGATCGGGCCTAAGGAATTGCAGGCTTGGTACTCTTTGGTACTCTAGGATCATGAAATTTTTTTTAATAAAATGATCGTGAAAGATTTGTGACACTTGGATTACCTTGATTAGTGTGTGGTGCGTTATTTTAAATGCAATCCAAGAGTCATAAATTTTTTATGATCATTTTTATAAAAGTTTTTTCTTAATATCTAACATTGCTAACACGTTGTGAGATATTGAGAATTGTATTTGAAAACTGTTTCGCCATTTAACATAAATTTTGTTAGGATAATGTGTGAACACAACAAATATCAGTAACATGAGGTAGAAGTAAGAACACAGAGAAAATGACATGTCACTAGATGAATTTCACTAGGTACATTATTTTTATTTTTTTTATATTGATATAGTGGATTCTTCGTGTACATTTGTTCCATGAATTTACTTTAAAAAGGTGAAATAAAATAAAAAAAAAATTATCTCGTCAATGCAGGACTAAGGAATTTTAATCTTACTATTACACCACATAATTTTTCATTCTTCTATTTTCTTTCTCCCGATTATTGAAAAATAAAAACCCCAACCCTATCCAGCTCTACTTGAATCATGCATCGACTCCTTTACAAACTTTTATGCCCACTCTCTTTCTTCGTTGGTGGTCAATTTTGAGCTTATGTTGACTTTTCTTTTTTGTTACAGGAAAATCCTCCCACTCTCCCGCAGGTCCAAGACAGCGTCCCTTGAGGAGATCACCAGGGTGTCCTGTTGTCCGTTCCGAGTAAGAGACTATAACCTGGAAGCTTGTCCCAACCTCCCAAGGCAAGCTCCGCTTAAATCAGGACTCGCACAACGGGAGAGAATTAAACCCACACCAAGTAGTTGATAAGGCATCCTTGAGGTCAACCTCCTAACCAACTGTGAGGAGAGTTGAACCTAGGACCTAAGGGCTTAAACCCCAGGCCCTTACCAAGTTGCTACTCACCCCTGGGTTAGCTTATGTTGACTTACCCCGGTGGATTCAAGATTTTTTTGTTTTTTTTGTTTTGATGGATGATATTTTTGTTTAGTAGGGCCAAAATCTTACCTTCAACCATTAAAAAAAAAAAAAAATTCCTAACTGACAATTGAATATTTCCCCTTAATTTAAACCTTAAATACAATTTAATCCTAATTTTTTTAAAAAAATGTGAATGCAATTCAACTAAACTGGATCCCAATGCCGAACACCTAACATCCATAAAATTAAGGAAATCTACAAAACTTTGCCCGAATATGTTAAAAACACAATTTAATACAGTGAATTCAGTGCAAAAATAAAATAAAATTTAACACGGTAAATTCATTGCATAAATTAATTTGTATATTTAAATTTTGTGTAGCTTTCATTCTCTTACTTTGTCAATTGTATATTTATGTTGTGATGTACAATATAGACTTATTTACGAAGAAATCATTACAAGGGACAAATAACAGATCTAAAATGGTCAAATATAATAAGTAGCAAAGGATAAACAATGTTTTCATTTTCAAAATTTAGTGCACTCTGCCTAAGGTAAGTCCACCCTGCTGAGCTAGGTGCTACGCTCATACATCATGTGGTAAAGTTTTTTCATAACCCAACAAAGTTTGCTTAATTTTCTTTATAGGAAAACAACAAATCAGATTATTTGATTAAAAAATGTTTATAAAAACATGGGATGCAATCATTTTTGGTGAAAAAAAATACAACAAAATCGTATCCAAAAATTTATTATTGATCGCTTTAGTTTCACTATTATGCAAAAAATTACAAATGAAATATGGAAACGACGCCTGCTAACTATACATTTATAAAATATATCTAAGTATTTTACACATAATCCAGTTGGAATCCACCCTTTGTCTCTCAATTGTACCATTATGTAAAAAAAAAAAAAAAAAATTTAGCACAACTACATATATAATTAGAATTACAAATACAAAAAATTTCAAAATACACTTCATTCATAATTGAGTGATTAATGTCTAGTGTACATCCCTAACAAAAATTGGTTACTAATAGCTTTGTCATATATGTGTGTGTGTGTGTTTGTTTGTTTGTTTTTTTTTTTTTTTCAATACCAAATTAATTCATTGATTGTTATTTATATACTATGTTTTTTTTGTACTATGCATGGACATCTACTGCAAACACAACGTACAACAGTTGGATTTTAAATTCAAAAATGTTGTGTATTATGAAAAAATATTTTAAAATTTATTGCGAAATAAATTATGTAATATAAATTTTAAATTGATATAATTATAATTTATAAATGTTTTTTTTTTAATTTATAATATTACTATCATAATTAATGGCCATCATAATTAAAGCAGTGCACGTGATGATATGATTAGAGTTGGGAGTATGTGTTTGGGTAATGAATTTTGAAGTGGGGCCATCAACACTCAACTTCGCAACACTGGCCACACATCATCAACTTCAAAAACAAAAATATTTCAGAATTCAAGAGCTTTAGAGTTGCTTTAAGGAGATGATAATGGTGTGGGTCTTATCTTAGCTCTTGTCTGTAAATAGATTAATTTAGTAATTTTTTATTATTTAATTAAAATATAAATTAATAAAAATTAATATATTTGATATAATTTTTTAATTTTTTATAAAAAAATGTATAAAAAGTAAAGAGAAAAGAAAATTTTTGACTTTTTAATAAAAATTATTGACTTTTTAATTTTTTTAATAACTTTTTAATTTTTTAACTAAAAAAATCACTTGTTAAACGAGGTCTTAATATGATATTTTGATTTAATTTTTTTTGTATTTAGAAGTACAAACTCAATGGAGCTCTGCTTTAAGCTCTATGTTTAGAGCTACTAATCACTACTGTTTCAAAAAAAATAGAGGGATGGATATGATTGATTCGCTAGGACACTGGACCATTGGAGGCGTCCACGTGTCATGAAGTTGGGCCAAACAACAAAGGCCAACTTTGTTGGTATCCCACAAAGCTGTGGCAGACAACTCAAAAGAAGCCGACCACTCAAAAGAAGCCTAAGCTATCAACTACTCTTCTATTTGCATAGGAATATGTGAATGTTAGAGACCCTCTATGGTGTGATGTCACACATATCTTAATAAAAATTTTGATAAATTTTCTAGTCTTAATATTTTTCATATGTGAATAACACTCTATTGTGCTACATGCAAGCCAAAGAAAAATAGAGATAGAGCAGCGATAGGACAATAATAGATATTTTGGCATATTTAAAAGTCTTTTGATTGAATTGTAAGTTGATATTGAATGAGTGTATGATGATGCTGTTTGGATAGTTGGGTTTTTGATTTTTTTTTTATTGAAAGACAAATTAGTTATAAATCAAAAAAATTAAATCTAAATAAAATATTACATCAAATTTCATAATCATTTCATTTTTTTTCTCACAAACATCATATCTAATTACAAAAAAAATCTAATTATTTTTCCAAACACAATTTTTTTTCTTCAATTATATCCTACAATTAAAAAAATTTACAAAAAAAACTCATTTTCCAAACGCCCACTATTAACACATTTCTTATTTTAACCTTTCGTTGCCAGCAACAATAAATTCATGTTTGATTGTCCATGGGATGCAATCATTTTTGGTGAAAAAAATACAACAAAATCGTATCCAAAAAGTTATTATTTGATCTCTTTAGTTTTACCATTTTGTAAAAAAATAATAAATAAAATATGAAAACCGCGCCTGCTAACTATATATTTATAAAATAAATCTAAAGTATTTTAGACATAATCCAGTTGGAATCCACCCTTTGTCTCTCAATTGTACCATTAGGTAAAATATTTTTTTAGCACGACTACATATATAGCCTCCGTTTGGCAAGGACTTTTTCAGGTTTTTTTGGCTATTTTAGTCACAAAAAACAAAATAGGTTATTTTAGCCATAACAAACAAAACATCACATCCAACCCATAATCATTACATTCTTCTCTCACAAAAAAA